AATACCTGTGTGCAATGTGTGATGCTCAAATCAGGATAATTAGTATATTCAACATTATACAGTGTAATCATTTTTCGTGGCCCTTTACCAATTCTTCCCTCGTACACCCCTTGTCCTCCCCCTTTCCCACCTCTGGTACCTCAGTTCTGTTCTCTCCTTTTGAAAATTCAACATATTATTGTGATTATTGTATCTTTGTTTCTTTGCTTCTTTATTTTTTGAGGGTCTCCCACTTAGGAGTGAGGACATGCAGTATTTCCCTGTCTGTGCCTGGCTTATTTCACTTAACATAATTTTCTCTAAGTTCATCTATGTTGCTACAAATGGCAGAATTTCATTATGTTTATGGCAGAGCAGTATTTCATTGTGTATATACACCACATTTTCCTTATCCAGTCATCAGTCAATGGACATTTAGGTTGGTTATAACCCTTGCCTATTGAAAATAGAGCTGGAGTAAACATAGGAGTGCAAGTATCCCTTCAACATGATGATTTCCATTCCTTTGGGTATATATCCAGCAGTGGGATAGCTGGATCATATAGTAGCTCTATCTGTAGTTTGAGGAACCTCCATACTGTTTTCCATAATAGCTACACCAATTTACAGTCCCACCAACAGCATAGGAGGGTTCCCCTTTCTCCACATCCTCACCAGCATTTGTCATTCTCTGTCTTTTCGATAACACCAGTCTGACTGGAGTGAGATGATATCTCAGTGTGGTTTTGATTTGCATATCCCTGATGCTGAGTGATGTTGAGCATTTTTTAATGTCTGCTGTGATATCTCAGTGTGGTTTTGATTTGCATTTCCCTGATGCTGAGTGATGTTGAGCATTTTTTAATGTCTGCTGGCCATTCGTATACATCCTTTGAGAAGTGCCTTTTCAGTTCCTTTACCCATTTTTTGGTGAGATTATTTGTATTTTTACCATTAAGTTGTTTGAGTTCTTTATTATTCTGGATATTAATCCTTCCTCAGGTGCATAGTTTGCAAATATTTTCTCCCACTCTGTATATTGTCTTTTCACTCTGTTAACTTTGTTTTGCTATGCAGAATCTTTTTAGCTTGGTATAATCCTATTTGTTTATTTTTTCCTTTTGTTGCTTGTACAGGGGAGGTCATATGCATAAGGTCTTTGCCCAGTCCTACTTCCTGAAGTGTTTTCCCTATGTTTCCTTTTAGTAGTTTTATTGTTTCAGGTGTTATGTTTAAGTCTTTTTATTATTATTATTCCTCAGATGTACCATTTTATTTATTTATTTGTTTGTTTGCTTTTTTGTTTGTTTGTTTGTATTGATTATACTTATTTATGGGACACAGATCTGATGGTCAGCACCTGTGCCCAAGATGTGGTGATCATACCAATACTCAGCATTTCTACCACCTCAAATTGCAATTATTTCCCATGTCCCCCACCCAACCTCTCTCTCCCTACCTGTCCATCCCCCAGCAACCCTAGGTCTGTTCTTTCCCTCTGCAATTTCAATACACCACTGTGGTTTTTCCTTCCTTTTTTCTCTCTTAGCTCCCACTTATGAGTGAGAACATGTGGTATTTTCCCTTTGTGCTGGTTTATTTCACTTATAATTTTCTCTAAGCTCATCCATGTTGCTGTGAATGACAGAATTTCATTCCTTTTTATGACTGAGTAGTATTCCAGTGTGTAAATATACCACATTTTCGTTATCTAGATGTCAGTCTAAAGACATTTAGGTTGATTACAACTCTTGGCTGTTGTAAATAAAGCAGTGATGAATATGGGAGTGCAGGTCTCTCTTAAACATGATGATTTCCATTCCTTTGAATATATACCCAGCCAAGGGATTGCTGGATCATATGGCAGTTCTATAGTTGTTTGAGGAAATTTCATGCTGTCTTCCATAATGGCTGCACTAATTTACAGGCACACCAACAGTGTAGGAGGATTCTCCTTTCTCTATATCCTCACCAGCATGTGTTATTCTCTGTCTTTTGATAAT